GTGCTAACTCCCCCTAATATCTAAGATTCTGCTATAGTTTGCCGTATAATTCTCCTATTATTACCTAAGAAATAAGTAACTTTGTCTCTAGACTTAAAAATACTTAGTTAAAAGATTTTAAAGACAAAAATATACATCTATAAGTTCTATAACACTGCTTTTCTACTAAAGTTCTTTTTAGTTTATCTATAATATAATTAAAGTTCTTAAATCTGTTTAGAAAGCCTTATTAGGGCCCTTTGCAACCTAAATACTATTTATTATTTTAAAATTAAGCGGCAAAGCAAGCGGCAAAGCAAGCGGCAAAGTAAAATCTAAAGCAATTATATTAAATCTAGCCTAGCCAAGACCCGATAAGTATAAATCTATTAAAACCCTTCTTATAAAAGTCTAAGCTAATAAGACTATTTTCTAGAGCCTTAGCTTTTAGGACGACCTCCCTAGGTTTAAGAAGTGTGGATCTGTTATAACTAAGAATATCCGGGTTAACGAAACTAATTTATTAAGTTCTAATAGTTATAAATATATAGATAAGCAGAGGCAATTTCTTACTAAACTAATTAATTAGAAGGTTTTTCTTTGCTTAGTACTTAAGAGCACTAGAACACACTATACTATTTTTTATAAATTTAGCTGTATACTTCTATATACCCTTACCTAGGAAAAATTTACGGCAGAATTAATAGCTAAAGGCTTCTATAATAATAGCTTACGTTGTTATATCCCGCTTAAAAAACTTATAAAAAAAAAAAATAATTTTATATCTGCTAGAGGCAGGTATTAGAGTTTTATAGAGAGGCTTAGAGGGCTTAGTGCCTTATTTTTTCTTCTTAATATCGGGTATAGCTTATATAATTTACTAAAATCTAATAGGTATAATATACTAATAATATTTATAGATTAGAAGTTAAATTACTTAGAAAGGGCCTAGTTTATAAAAATGCAATTCTAAGCCTTTAAAAGGCCGGTATTACGACAGCGTTAAAGCCTTATTATTTGCTCGCCGAGAGGCTTATAGGGATATATATTAGTATAATAGCTAGTGTTATACAGAAACCGATTATATAGGTCGGGGCTCTAAAAAGACGATTAGAAGGCGCTAAGCGGCTAAATAGCAAGCGCTCTAGATATAAACCGAGCTAGTAAGGTAGAATCTATTTATATATTAAATTAAATAATCGCTAAATACTAGTATAGGGGATAAAAGGCCGTCGAGCGCGCCGGCGCTTCTAGCGGAGCAGACCCTATATAAAACAGATAACCTTACGCAAGTTACGCCCTAATAACTGCTAAGCGCTAATCTAGCGCAATAACTTCTTTAGATATCTCTTAATAACTAAAGAAGTGCAGTAATAAAATAAAATAGGTTAAATACAGATATCCCTAGCTCTTAATTAAGCTTAGTATATAGAGCGGATAGTATACGGCAGTACGCCTAAGTATATACTAGTGGTTAATTAAACCTATTAGGTTAGAAAGTAGAAAATATGCTACTTTATAAGTGCTATTAATAATAGCGCTGTTAAAAGCGGTACTAATATAGAGGAAGATGTATTCCCGCAGGCTAAGAGCTAAATCCTTACTATAATATACTACTCTTAAATTAATTTATACTAATAAGGTAAGATCTTTTTATTTAGTTAAATAAAATAATAGCTAAGTACTAGTATAGGGTATAAGAAGAATATATAAATACTTTAGATATCTTCTAATAACTAAGGAAGCGCAATTACAGGATAAGGCGAGCTAAATACGGCTGTTTCTAGTTCCGTGCAATTAGACACCTTTAGATTAGGCGACGTATTGCTGGGTAAAATAAACTACTTTAATATATTAGTTGCAGCTAAAACTATAGCAAACGTAAATACTCTATTATATAATCCGGAAAGAAACTCTAGAACTATTAGAAATAGTAAGTAAAATAATATTAGGGCACCCTAATAAGGACTAATCTTTATTAGGCAACTATATAACCGGTTTTAAAGGCTTTTTATTAGGAAATAAGGAATACTCCGTTCTAGAACTAAATAATAGCATTACTCCAGGTCGGGTTTTATATATTTAATCTCTCTGCCCTTACTAATATCTCCAGCGTATAGGTTTAGCATTTATTCTAATTAACCTCTACTAATATCGGCCTTATTACCTAATAATTAGTCCGATTACTAATATTCCGAAGTAGCTTAATTTCTAAGTAAGTTACCCTACTAATAAAAATTACTTTAATAAAGCGGCGTGAAATTAACAAAGTTTATAAAAGCAGACTTATTAGAATATTCTAAAGACCTATAAAACTACTATATTCCTATTGCCAATCCTCTAGATAATATATAGAACAACGCTATACCTATTACTAATATATAGAACTTCGCCGTGCCTATTAACAATATATTAAATATTACTATACCTATCCTAGATTACTTTTTAGCAGTTTTAAATAGACTGCGGTTTATTAATATATATTTCCACCTTTATATCTACTTAGATAAGAGTAGTAAGGTATAGAAGGTTAGGCTAGCTAATATATTTTTTATTAGATAGACAACCTGCCCAACCTGTAGTAATATATTCTTAAGGCCTATAGTTTCGGAAATAATAACAGGGAACAGATCTATAGATTATTTTATAAGTACTTCTATATTGTCGTTTATACAGCGTATAGCGGTTATTCGAGTTTCGCTAGTAGACTGTTTTATATTATAAATTAGCTAAATATCTAGTATATATTATAGAGTAGTTATACTCTAGGTAATATTTAGATAAACTTAGAAAAGGCAACTAATAGTTCGGTTATATTTTTATAGGTTTTAATATTACTAGGGAAAAAGCAAAACAGCGCCGAATTATAAAGCCAGGCTAAACCGGCTTTAAGTGCGCTTTTAGCATCGTCTGTTAGCTTATTAACCTGGAGATACGCTTTTACTATAGCTATATCTGTTTATATATTACTAAAAGCCGATTATAGGTATAGTATTAATTATTAAAGATATATTAAAGTAGTATAAATGGAAATTTTGGAAGGGTTTAGGATTTATAGCGGTTATAGCGCGTGCACTATTTTAATGCTTAGCATTTAGACCACTTCTTAGGGCCTAGTTTCCGCATCCTAGTGCGAAACTCTATTTCGCGCTTTTTTAATAATTAACAATAATATTTATACGCGCTAATAAAAAAGATAATAGTAGGTTATATAGGCCGCTCCTAGCATTTTCCACCCTTACTTTAGACTTTTCTAGTCCGGATTTTATTGCTCTATCCGCTAATACTTTAAGTATATTAGAGGCAGGTAAATAGCTATATAAGTTATACTACTTTATACAGGCCGCTAACACTTTATTCTCCGCAGGTATTCTTATATCGCCTTCTCCTCGCAACTATCGGCCTGTTAGGGTTAGGCTTACTGCTCCTATAGTTGCGCAAGTCTAATAACTTATTAAGCAATAGCCCCGGCTAAAAGGCAATTCCTGTATATATATATAGCAACAACCCTTTCTAATATCCTTTTAATAGCTATTTTTACAGTACTTTTCGGCCCCTTTTAACCGCGTTTTTTACCCTTAAAACCTAGCCTTTTAGTATTATAACTTCGGACTTTAAAGCTTTCTAAGCCCCTCTAGGCTATACCTATAAGGGTTTTACTAAATAAATAGATTACTAAAAGTTAACTAAGAAGGAACTTAAACACGCTATAGTAAGGTTCTACCTTTAGTAATTATTAAATATTCCGCTAAGCAGTAATAGTATATATAAGTCTATAGTTTAAGTGCCGAAAGCGTTAATATTAAGATATCTTTCAACAGAAAAATTATTGCAATAACTGCACTCCTAAAAACCTTTATATTTTATATTCTAATATTACTAGAGGTAGATATACAGCGTCTAGGAAAGCTAAAGGTAGTTAAAAAAGGTATTAAAAATATATAGGAAACGGCCAACGCAATAGGTATAGTAGCTAGTATAGCAACTATAGCATACTTATTCTTCTAAAACTAAGGAACTAGCGGCTAATAGAGTATTATATTCTAGCTTTACGATTAAATAAATCTAAACTTAGCAGTTGCAGTTCGGATAAAAAGTGCTATTAGACTTAGAAAAAATTCTATCTATTATTACTACAACTCGCCTGCCTTAATTGTCGGCGTACCCTTTAAGTTAACCTATTGCGTAATATTAACGGAGATAATCTGCTTAACGTGTATTTTCTATTAACTACTATATTAATTAGCTTCTAGTGTTCCGGCTATGCTATGCCACTCTATATAGCTCGCTAATTCCTAAGCAATAGCTTAATCCGTGTATACTAACTAGCTCTTCTCCTATATATTACTTTATTCTAAATAGGGACCGTAGTTAGCTGTCCGTTAAAAGCCTCTTCTATAGTATATAATACGGCGCTTCTATATATTATTTAAAATCTTAGTATTCCAGCAAACTTACTTATTATTATAAGTTCTATTCTAGTCTATAAATTAACTAAGCGTTTTTTTACTAAATCTAATAAAAATCCTATAAGTTATTATAATAGAAAGATCGGTAAATACTATACTACTGTAAGCATCGAGTACACTAGGCACTATTACGCAATTACCGCTCCTAATAATATCCTTCTTAATAATAGAACGGTTAGGAATATTTATAATATAATAATAATATTATTATTCCTTGCAGTTATAGTCCTTCCTAAAAATAGATTTAAGGCCAGGAGCAGGATTATACCCAACGATTTCTTAGTCTATATTAGCCTAACGCAACTACTACTAGTTCCTGGCTCGAAAATACTCTATAAATAAGTAAATAATTTTATTCTCCTCCTAAAATAGATTTAGATATATAATCTAGATTAGTTTTAGTAGAATACTAATTTTAAAAGCAAACTAAAGGAAGTTCCGCCTATATTATACTGTGCGTTGCTAAGCGGTCTAACTAGGATTATAAGAGAATTAATTCTTAATAATACTAATATTAACACGTAAGAAGGATTTTATAGCAACGCACTCTAGGCGGTATCGGCAACAGGCCACTATAATATTGTTAAGCAGCTGCTAGATAAGAATGCCAATGTTAACGCGCAAGGGGGATTCTACAGCAACGCGCTCCAGGCGGTATTAGGAATAGGCCACAACAGGATCGTTAAGCGGCTGCTAGACAAGGACGCCGATGTTAATATATAAGGGGGATTCTACGGCAATATACTCTAGGCGGCATCGGCAACAGGCTATAAGCAGATTATTAAGTAGCTGCTAGATAAGGGCGCCGCGGTTAACGCGAAAGGAGGAGAGTACGGCACTGCGCTCCAAGCGGCATCGCGAAAAAACTACTACCGGCTTGTTAAGTAGTTGCTAGACAGGGGCGCCGACGTCAACGCGCAAGGAGAAAAGTATAGCAACGCACTCCTGGCAGTATTAGAAGGAGGTTACTATAATATTATCGAGCTGCTACTAGACAGGGGCGCTAAGGTTAACGCGAAAAAAGAAAAAGAGTACGGCAACGCACTCTAGGTGGCAGCAGGAAGAGGCTACTGCAATATTATTAAGCTGCTGCTAAATAAGGGCGCCGATATTAATATAGAAGTAGGATACTACAGCAATATACTTTAGACGGCATTGCGAGGAGGCTACTTTAAAATCGCTAAGTAGCTAGTAGATAAGGGCGCCGACGTCTGTATAAAAGAAGGATATTATAACAACGTACTACAGGCTGCAGCGCGAGGAGGGCACTTCGAGATTGCTAAGTAGCTACTAGATAAGGGCGCCGACGTTAATACAAAAGGAGGATTCTACGCTAGCGCACTCCAGGCGGCATCGCGAGGCTACGGCCAGACCGTCGAGCTGCCGCCGAGTAATAGCGCCGACATTAACGCGCTTAAGGCGGTATTGGAACAAGGCCTTAACAAGACCGTTAAGCTGCTGCTAAAGAGGGGCGCCGACGTTAATACGCAAGGGGGAAAGTATAGCAACGCGCTCCAGGCGGTATCGGAAAGAGGCAACAACGAGATCGTCACGCTGCTACTAGGCAAAAGCGCCGACGTTAACGCGCAAGGGGGGAAGTATAGCAACGCGTTCCTGGCGGCATCGGTAAATAGCTACTACAGTACTTTTGTACTGCTCCAGGCGGCATTAGAAAAGGCTAGGCAAGATCCTTATACTGCTAAGTAAATAGCAATATTATAACAGTATTAGTCCACGTAAATATTTCTAATAGTAACTTAGTCTTGATTTTAAATTATAGCTATCGCCTGGTTATTAATAAGGTTCGCACTGCGGCTTCTATTTATAGGATTTAGCTAAAGCTGCTACCTAGACTTTTCTAATATACTTAAAGGGTTTAGTTATAGGCTTAATAGAGTAAGTAGAAAGCGCTGTAATAATATAAATCTGCTCTGCTATACTATTATAAGGTGCTTAGAAAGGTGTAAATAGGTGTTAATAACGGGTTATAAGGCGTTGGCACTAGTAGTACTAGATATAGGCAGGTTGTTAGAAACTACTAAATATTAGTTAAAGCTAGCCTGTTTAGTAGTACTAATTTAATTAACTAAGGTAAGCGCTTAAAAAAGGTTGCGTTTAAAGGAAAAATATAGGCTGCTTAAAAAAAGGCGAAGAAATAGTTCTATTAGGAAGGTAGAGGTCTATAATAGCAAGCGCGGATATAGGTGTTATTAATAGAACTTAAAGCACCTTCTAGTTTAAAAGGTTAAGTAATTTAAGCGTTTATAAGTTAGGCGTTTAAGGGTTCTAGATAACTAGGGCTAGCTAAGCAGCTTAGAGCTAAGATACTAAAAGGTTCTAGGCAGCGGCCGCGCTGGTTTTTGCTTGCGTTCTTAGAGCTTATATATACCTAGAGTTATTAATTAGCTGCGCAGAGAAAAAGTGTTAGCTAATATACTTAGATTAGAAGAAATCGGCTATTCCGGCGAGTTAAAAATAGTTAGGCAATAAAATCTATATAGGTTATTGCTGTTAAAGGTAGTAAATAACTTTATTAGCAACCTAAAGCGGCAATCCTAACTTTAATAAGCGCAGAGCCTTAAATATAGGAAGAGGGGAAACCTAATATCTTAGGCTTATAAAAGGGGTAGAAGTACCTAAAAAGCATAATAATATACAGGCTATTAGCTAATTAGGCAGTAAATAGAATAAGAAAGAGGAGATAATAGGGTATAATATAAACTATAGAATACAGCTTTAAGTAAGGCTAAGTTATAGTTATATAGCTCACCCTTATACTTAACCGGCACGCTACCTAGCACCTAGTCTAAATTAATATTGTTTTTATTTAGGAGGTTAATAAGCCTAGGAAAAGTTGCGCTGCTCCGAAGATCTACTAGCTATCCTAGGTTTATTAGCTTCTCCCTTTTCTAAAGCTAGTTTTCGAAGTTGCTTAGTTTAAGTATAAGAAATCCGGCAGGAATATATTATAACCTATACCGGTATTCTATACTAGTTATAGATCCCTTATATTTCTTATTCTTAATATTCCTATTGCAACTACAGCAGCTGGCTAGGAGCTAACTGCGCCTAATTTATTCCCTTTGCTTAATAGACTTGCGGCAATAATTTAACTACCTCCTAGTAAAGGATATAATAAGGTAGAAAAAGAAAATAGGTAGCAGCTAATAGTAGAAATAGGTAGGGCGTAATTAAGTTTAATAAGCGCGTGTAAAGGGCGTAACAGGTTAATATAAGTTTATAATAGCCGCTATAGTAGCGCTTATTACTAGTAACCTTAAAAAGTATATATATTAGAGGGTACTTAAAAAGGACCGCAATATAAACTATTTAACGCCGCAGCGTATAAGCTCTATTCCCTAACGCAGCTTATAAGTTCTATATATAATTAAGTTATCTATATTTCCGCGCGAGAAGAATACTTACTACTTACCCCTGTATGCAATATATATAGTATAACGCTGCTTTTTTTTATCCCTGCTATAAGTTGCGGTTAATACTCGCGTATAGTAAGGTAGCTTTTAGAGTCTATAGCTTATACTAGCGTTATAGAAAAATAGACAGCGGGCTTCCACGGCGGCGCATATTATCCCTAATAATACTAGCAGCTTAGTTATAGGGAGAATTGTAAGGAACTAGGGTAGGAATAAGAAAAAGTAGTAAGCAGCTGCGCTTCGTTCGCCGGCGGGTTTATAATAGATATGCTAGAGCATAGTATTAATATTCGGCACTTAAGCAGGGTGCTAAAAGCTACTTTAGCTTAGAAGAATTATAGACTATTACTAGCAGCTTATATTCCGCAGAAATAGATTTTTTTACAGCTAGCCTTTCTATATATATAAAAAAATAGTATAAAGTAAAGTATTTTTGCCAATATATTTAACTAGGCTAAATTCGCTGTTATTATTAAGCCGTAAAAAACGCATAAAAAAAGGATTCTAGAGCTTTAGCTAAGGAAATAATTATAATAAATATAGGGTAGAGGGCAGTATAAAGTAGCTAAACTTAAATAATACTAGTCCGCGTAAATATTTCTAAGGGTAACTCGATTTTAGTTTTAAGTTATAGGTTATCTTAATAAAGTTTACGCTGTAGATTAAGGTAAAGGTAAGTAAATAGTATACTAAGTTAGTATATAAGCTTTGTAAACTCCTAGAGTTTATAAATAATAATATAAAACTAGGGGCTAGGCTGTAAGTAGGCACGTAACGAAAAGGTAAATATTCTTAGTAGCGCGTTCCGTGCAAGCTTTGCAATCCTCCGTCTCCTATTAAAGAAAGTCCTTAAAAAACTAAATAATAAACGCGTTCTTTTTACTAAGTGTTAATAAAAAAAGGGGTATATATACTAAATATTTTGGCAGCAAATCCGTTGCAATATTTATAGGTATATAATTCTAAAGAGCTGCGCTTTAGCAGGCTGTCTACAAAGGAATAATTATTCCTATAGCGCGCAATCGTGCCTATAATAGTAAGGTTAGCCCAGCTTTCCGAGCTATTCTTAGCGGACGGGGATGCGCTACTCCCTATAGGAATGCGTATTGCGTTAACCTTATAGTAGCGCCTGCTGTAGCTAAGATTACCCGGAATAACTTCGGTTTCTGCTAACCTTACGCCTATATAGACTCGTAAGTAGCCTGCAGTATAATAGTATAGCCGGCTAGCTAAAATATTCCTTCGCAGTTTTTAGCTCTGTTACCAACGCTATTTATACTTAATACCCTTCCCGTAATAATATGCGCTGCTGTAGAATTACTTTAAGTTTTAGATATATTAAGCCGAGATTCCAAGATTCTAAATATACCGATAAGCTATAATAATAGTAAAGCGTATAGTTACAGAGAATAACAACAGTTGTATAGATCCGATTTAATATCCTTATAATAATA